ACTAGCCAGCTATGTGACTGCATGGAACCCTCTTCTGGAAGGGTGAAACTGTCCTGTAACCTGTAAAGAACTGGACACACTCAATGCTCAGTTTTGTGTTCAGTGGGCATTGGGAGTCAGTGGCATGTTGATATTGTTAGGACAAAATGCCAGTCTTAGGAATATTCATCTGGGGAGAGGACTAATACCAATAGTTTGAGGTTTGTTTGATTCTTTTAAGAGTGAGGGAGAGATGAGGGAGAGATGAGGGAGAGAGGAAAAGGAGATTTTTTTTTTTTGGCATTTGCTGGAAATCACATAATTGCAGAGTACTAGAAATAGGCTTCAAAGAATATATAATCCATCCTCTTCACTTTGTAGATGGGGACAATAAAGTCCGAATAGAAGCAGTTAATTTTCCAAGGTCAATAGCTAGTTAGTAGTCACACTGGGCATGGTCCAGGTCTTTCAGTCCAAGTCCAAGGCTTCCACTGACAGGCAATGTTCAGCCCATAGTCCATAAACAGCTTTATACTTTGGAGCAGTGGGGAGGCACAGAGGAAAGGAGATGTGAGCGCAAGTGTCCTAAAAACTAGCTGGGAAGGCTATGACCCAACCCGAGAACTGTCCCAAACACTACTGGCTAGGGTGTGAGAACTGTAAGAATAACCATCCAGGCTGGATCGCTTGGAAACACCTTTTAGAATAGCTGCAAGAGTGACATGGATGATTGGAAGGATGTGGCATTTCCTTCAATGATACCTTTTGTTCCAACTCTTGCTTAGAGGTGGTTAGTTAGGCTCTTAGGTGAATCTCTATTTTGAAATGTACCAGTACTTTGCTTTCCTGAAAAGCCAGTTAAATTACAAATTGATGACTCCTAAAACTTCTCCAGGGAGGGTTAAATGTCTGTGTCACAGAGAGGTTCCTCAGTTAATAACAACTTCTTAATCAGCCCAATGTGCTGAAGGAAGGCCATTCACTAAGTGGTTGGCAAAGCTCATTTGTCCTTCGCTGTTTTAACTATTGGGCTTTTAAAGCATTATTGTTCTAAAACTTTTCAAAAGTCTATGTGATTTCTCTTGGGGAGAACCAATTAGTTAGCGATCTTTACTTGCCATGTGCAATGAGTTACCCCAAAAGTTCTTCATCTAACAAAAACAAAGAGAAACCCCACCGACTGGGAGAACATTTTCGCACACAACACTAATGATAAAGGACTGATCACAAAAATCTGCAAAGAGCTGATGAGACTCAACAACAAAGAAAATAATCCTTTCAAAAAATGGGCAGAGGAGCTAAAAAGAAACTTCTCTGAAGAGGAAATGCAAATGGCCAATAGGCATATGAAAAAATGTCCAACATCACTTGTAATCAGGGAAATGCAAATCAAAACTACCATGAGATACCATCTTACACCAGTGAGAATGGCACATATTAAAAAAACTAGCAACAACAAATGTTGGCGAGGATGTGGAGAAAAAGGAACTCTCCTGCACTGTTGGTGGGAGTGCAAACTGGTCCAACCACTATGGAGAGCTGTGTGGAGATTTCTGGACCTACTAAACATAGAGCTTCCATATGATCCAGCAATTCCACTCCTAGGTATTTACCCAAAGGACACAGAAACATCCATTCCAAAGAGCACTTGCACCCCTATGTTTATAGCAGCACTGTTTACAATAGCTAAGCTTTGGAAACAACCCAAATGCCCAAAAATAGATGACTGGATCAAGAAGATGTGGTACATATATACCATGGAATATTACTCAGCATTCAAAAAAGATAAACACATGCAATTTGCAGCAACATGGATGGCGCTGGAAGGGATCATGCTCAGCAAAATAAGCCAGAAAGAAAAAGAAAAATACCGGATGGTCTCACTCATAGCAGAAATCTAGAAAACTTAAATAAGGGACCAGGAAAATGAACAACTATAAGAAAGTGAAAATCAAAATCAACAAAAAACTATGAACCAGAGACACTCTATGGGGGGTGGGGGGCAGGGAGGGGAGGGATTGGGGTCAAAATAAGGGGGTTGCAATTGTATGGGGAATATAAAAATAAAATTTATTTAAAAAAAAAAGTTCTTCATCTAGTTTTCTTTTTTATCTGGAAAGTTGTCTGGGAACCTCTAGAAAATGGGGATCGTGGTTTATTCATTGTCATGCCCTCCGGAGCACCTCCCGTGCGTTCTTGCCCAGGGCTGGCTCTAAGGGAAATTTTTTGGACCTGAACTGATGATCAGAACTGGCCACAGGTCTGAGTTACCGCCAACCCTTTTTCACCCTTAGCTTAAGTTGTGAGCAATTAGACTTATCAGTTGTGAAACTGGTTGTGTTAGCACCTTACATGAGTCTACACATAAGCCTCGTAACCGGATGGCAAGTGAAAGAGGACTGAATCTTACTATCTCATTGTCTTTATGTGTATAAGTGCAGGGTACATATTAAGTGCTCAATAAATGTTTATTAGGTCAGACAGAAATGAAATACATTGTCATCAGGCTACTTCTGTCCCCAAACTCAGACTACATGTCATTAAAGGTAACAGAGATTTAAAAAAGTCATTTCCTGTATTGGAAACTATACTATTAGCCTTTTCCCCAAGGTCAGCATTTCTGATCCAACGCCTGTGTTCCACACAAGAAGTGACAACAACCCTCTTATTTCAAAGTTCCTTTCTTTTACCTAGACTGATTTTTTTTTTTAAGTTTGATTTTTTTAAAGCACAGACCCATCTTTGATCTATTTCAGGACAATCTATCTAGGTTGACAAGATGTTTTCCCCAGTTTCCTCTTTTGAGTAAGCTTTAATCAGTTCATACCTGTCTTGTTCTAATACTGAAATGATTTCTTTCTTCCTTTTTTTTTTTTTGACCAGAGTCACAGAAATTTACACTTATGAATATTTCTGCATCTTTCGGGTATTTTAGAATCTTTAGATTATTAGGTTAAGTCTTCTCCCACATTCTTTGGCTGATAACTTCATTTAAGGACATGATTTTGGGCTGCATATTCATTCATGTGAATATTAACTGATCCAGATGAACTTTACTGGAATGTAAATACTGCAGCTGGAAGAGTAAGATCAAAACCGTTCTCTGTACAGAAGTGTTAATCTTGTTGTTGCCAAAGGGAAACACAGCAGTTTAAGATGTAAGGGGATTTCACACATTTTTATACTAAATGGAATTTTGGTCAGTTTTATATGGTAGAGATTGTTTGCAAGTAACAGGTAAAGAGAAAGGTCCATAGAATCACTTGATGCTCCTGTCTCAATATCAGTCCACCAAAGATGTTTGGGGAAATCACTGTTCTGACCACAGCATCAACTAATGCCACCTACTAGGTTTCATACAACTGAACTGTGTCACCAGAGGTTGAGTGAAAAAATTATGTTTCCATTGATAAGTATCTGTAATACCAAAGACCTCAGTGAAGTATATATATATTTGATAATGGTGGTATAGGGGGTTTTGTAGTTTCATTCAAAATAGTGAGGAACATAGTTGTTTCCCTATGAAACAAACTCCCTACATTTCTTCTAGGGGAATAGGTCCTTTCTTTTTTTTTTTTTTAAGTTTATTTTTTATTTTTTATTTTTAAGATTTATTTATTTATTTATACAAGCACTGGGCACAGTCAGAAGCACAGGAGGGTGAGAGAATTCACCAGAGCCAGAGCAGGGAGCAGAGCAGGCAGAAGGATCGAAGTACACTGCTGAGGGGAGCAGCGGGCGGCAAGAGGTCTGTGCGCCATGTGGGACCCTCCTTCGGTGGCCGGGGAGCAGCCGGGGATCGAACCGGCGCTGCAGAGGCTGCAGGCAGCTTCGCAGCCCAGTGCTCAACCGCTGCGCCACCGGGGAGGCCCAAGAATAGGTCCTTTCTTAAAGAAGAAGTAAATCTTTTTTGACTTATAGGAATGTTTAGGCTTGGCCTGGGTACTTATATTATTGGGTCACATTCAGATGAAGTACTTTGGAAGAGTTGCCCCCTCTAATCGACGCCATAACCACAGACTAATAGTATGTAAAATAGTCTGGAGCCTACTGGGATTCAAATTGTTCCAAGATGACCTCTTATTTGCACTTAGAAACTTCTATCACCTCCAGCTCATGCCAATTAGTCTCTTAGGCCAAGTCTAAAACAGGCTATTTCCAAAGAATGGGTATTACCCTTGGGTTAAATAAATATTTTGTGTGATTTCTTTCACCTGGTCAATCAATTATTGGATCAGATTGGCGTAGAACCTTCTGGTTATTGTAAAACTCTTCTTTCTCTACCCTTGAAGAAGGAATCATCTACTATCTCAACAACAACAACATCCACACACACACACACACACACACACACAGTCTTACAGCATTTGAAGCCTTAACTTGTTTAAGCAAATCACACAATTAAAGTAAAAAGCTCACATCTGTTTTGAGATCAACTCTAGTAGCACTAGTGTTAATGGATTTTATAAAAAGGAATTCCAGCTATAGTAACCACATCTACAAAAGCACAACTGGGGTGGATGAAATTGGAGTAGTTCATTGGGTTAGATCAATATTCAATCCTGGCTATGTATTCACTTGGGGAGCTTTTGAAAAATACCAATGCTTAGGTCACATGTCAAACCAATTAAATCCTAATCTGTGGAGGTGTGGCCTGAGCATCTGTATTTACAACTCTTCTGCAGATTCTAATGTACAGCTATTGATAGTGTTGAGAATCACAGACAAGTGGCACCAGAGAGTAAGGAAAGTTGTGATTTGCATTATGCCACAACCAACAACAGGCTGAAGACTCTGGCTCTTCAGAGGCTAAATCTTCAGCTGTCAGAGCCAGCAGGACTTCACCTGTCTCATTTAGGACAAGGGTTGCAGGGCAAACAAGCCATCCACGAGCTATAGAAACCAGTGCCTGTCACTGGATGCTTCTCTCCCTAAAAATTATTGAAAATTAAGAGAAAAGAACAACTACACCTCTATGCTCCTATTTACTTAGAAATATTTAAATAACGAAAATGGTTTACCGTGTGAGAAGAGCAATTTTGCAGCTTTCAAACCTGAGTGCCACAGACACAAAAGCTGCCTGATATTAGCTACTGTTCACTCTTCCTGAGCTTGTCTTCTCCTCTGTAAAATAGGAATTAAGAAAAACCAATTTCCAATATGATCACAAATAAGATGACCAGTAAAACAGGTAGTGCATGTCATAGTAGGTGTGCAGTAAATTAAATGGTAGTTATTAATGGCATAAGAAAAGTCTTGGACCAAATAGCTGCAAAGGGGATTTAAAAGAAATCTTGGAGCTTCTTTGCATGAAATATCTTAATCTTGCAAAGGTTGTTTTTGACTCTCATTGATTGAAAACACAAATAAACCCCAAATGAAACAGTTCTTATGAAGGAATGAATGGATTTTCAATCTGTGTTTTCTTGTTTACGATGGAAAGTATGCAATCCAAGGAAAACACAGGTGGTTAAACTGTTCAGTACTTCTATTTTTAGCATATGCAGAGGGCTCTAAGCATACAAATGCAAATATTTTAAGTAACAGAAAATGAAGACTAACTTCTCAAGGTTAAAAGACTTCAGCTTTCCTGTAGCAAATTTAGGTTTTTCTCCTTTTATCATTATTGAAAAAGAACTTCAGATCTGATACAGACTGAACCCCAAAACAGCTTAAGAAAAAACTCACAGCATTCTAAAAGAAGCATTATTCCCCCACGAGGGTATTTTTGTTTTGTTTTGCAAAAATTCTATCTTCGTTGGGCGAGGAAAGCCAGCCCCCCTGGCTTGTTAGTGAAATGCAGATGGGCCCAGACACTGGGCAGGTCCCGGGAGAAGGCGGCGCGTCCCTCGCCCTTGCGCCCTCGGCCCGGGCTTGTGCGGACGCGTCTCGGGCGTGACCTCCCAGCAGCTGCGCCACCGGCTCAGCCTCGCGGCGGGAGAAACCCGAGCTCCCAACAAAACAGTTCCATCTTTGGCAAGTTCTCTGGTATTTCAGGCGCTGCCGGTGGGGAGAGATGCCGCGTGCCTGGGAGACTCTGGGAACCCGCAATCTCTCGCTCCCCCGGTGTTACATTTCTGAAGATTCTGACCATCTGCAGAGGAAGCGCAGTTGCGGCAGCGGGTGGGCCAGGGTGAAAACAGCAGAGGGATTTTTCTGGGAGGCCCCACGGAACCTGGTTTATCATTCTCCCGGGGGGTGGGGGTGGGGTGGGGGTGGTTCCCGGGCCTTGATTTTTCTGCTTTTCTTTTTTGTCTTTCTGCAGATATTATGAAGTCAACCGGAACGGAGAATATTGAACTACTTCAGGACAAAATCTCCTTTTTAGAGTCAGTCTCTCTTCCCCAAAGGGACACGGCTTTCCTGTTACTGAGCTGTCTCTACCTGCCTGAAATACTGGGGAGCAAAGTCGAAGTTGACCAAAAATGGTTCTTTCTAGAGAAGAAATTTTGAAGCCATGTAAGAGTAGTTAACATTGAGTGCTTACTTTGTGCTAAGCACTTTAATGCAATAACCCACTTTATCCTTGCAACAGTCGTGCGAAGTAGGAATTCTTATTATCCCCACTTTACAGGCTACAGGAAAGGCACAGGGAGGTCCAGCAGCTTGCTCAGGGTCACACTTTGAAATGGTAGAGCTTTGGTTTCGATGTAGACAGTCTTGCTGCAGATACTGAGTGTGTAACTTGTCTTCCAGAATCCTCTCGTAGCACATGAGATCTCAACAAGGTGGAGAAATGTTCACTGGAAAAGTTTTGAAGTCAGACATGGCAAGCCCGGACCTTCTTAAAAATCCTGATTTGATTGATAAAAGCTGGTCCTGGTGGGGGCAGTGTGTCCAGGTCTCCTAGGAGTTGTGAAAGCCATGTTGATTTTGATCATGTTGGTGGTTTGGTAATGTTCACCCTGCTATCTCAGGAAGGGCTCCCTGGCAGTTTGACCTATTGGAAGGGGAGGGGAGGAGAGGGGACAGGGTTGTAGTCAGTATGCTACTAGTGTTGATCTGAAAAGAGAAGAGAGTGGCGTGAGAAGGACAGGCCTCCTGGCCCCCAGCCAGCGCCTTCCCTGCAGGCCACAGAGGGGCTGGATCTCACCTTCACTGTCCCAGGAAGTGTGCCAGGCACGTGGAGGCCTCCTATTCTGAAGCCCGAGTCTGGCAGGCTGGTTTATTGATGGACAGGTTGGCTAGGTGCTGTGGGAATTAGAAATTGTGTCCCTGTCTAGGGGACACCCTTCTTGGGATGGAAGTAGGTAGGAGGAGTGGGGTGAGTCTGGAGAGAGGATGCTTTCAGGGAGAGAGCATGAAAGAACAGAGGTTCTAGGTTGGTTTGGGGGCTCATTTCTCTGGAGTGGAAGAGTTAGGTGCTTTGCTTCCTCCAGACACTGCAGCAAATTCATGTCCCACTGGTCTGATTGTCTCTCTAGGCTAATCCTTACTTGTGGATTCTGCTACCTTTGTGCTAGTAGTCCCCCATAGTGCCATTTTATACTACTAAAAGTACCCAGACATTTGCCTTCAGTGAACAGGGCGAGCCTTCCTCCATGATCCCCTCTCTCCTATCTGCCCACAAAGCGATAGGATCTGCAGGAGCAGAGAAAGTGTACCCCACTCACCTCCACAGGACAGTGACAAGCACAGAGTAGACCTGGGGCAATACCTGGGTCATATGGACTGTTCCTGGGTCATATGGACTGTTCCTGGACTGTCCCAGGGCCAACCCTAATGGACAGTATTCCTTTAGATGGGTAAACTGGGGTGGTGGGGCATGTGCAGTTTGTGAGGGTTCCCACATGGCTCTGCCACTTGCTGTGCAGCCTTAGGCAAATCACTTTACTCCCCTGTGCTTAGGTCCTGTCATCAGCAAAATAGTGATAATACTAATAAGCACTTCAGAGGGGGTGTTGTAAGGATTGAAATGAGTTAATAAATGTCAAATGCCTGGCACAGGCTAAGTGCTTAATAAATATTACTTTCTGCTTTTACTGGTACTACAACTATTATTATTCTGCAACTCCAGGCAACTTAGCTTACCTCTCTGAATCTCATTGTTCTCGTGTGTGAGATGGGTGTACTACTATCTGCTTTATGGCGTGGTTGTGAGAATTAAATAGTGTTAATTACTATTGTAAAATCTGCAGTAAATGACTAGTCTATTCGGGCTGCTTTATCTGACTTTATCTCCCAGGGGGCGACTTTATTTTCAAATATGAGGAGGTTTCTTACAAGAGCTTCAACATACTGACCACAGCCAGTGAGGGTGTTTGGGCACTTTGCTTTACTTCGGCCACCTCCCTTTTCCCAGCTGTAAAATGGTATGATAATAACCACCCCTAGGAATCTCAAGGAAATTACGAGGGAAAAGTGTATACAATAATACACAAAGCACTTTGAGTTCCTCTGAAGAGAGACGCACATAAATGGAAGGTGGTATTATAAGGTAGAATAATCACTGGTTTCTCTCCCCCCCCTTTTTATTTAATTAGGAGAAAACTAGTCATTAGGAAGCATGGTCTCGTTAAAGCTGTGGCCTGGGAAATGGTTCTCTTGGCACCTAATCAGAACTGTGACAAGGCAAGTTTCTGCAAAATGTGGGGCAGCAGGGGACCTTCCCCCAGGCTCAGGGACAGGTCTGCAGATAGTGAGGAAAAATTGGCTGTTTGAGGGCCATGGCCTGAGGTGGCTGATGCGGAGCAGTCACCCATGTCTCCTACTCCCAGGAGGTCTCCTCCCTCAGGGGGTCCCCAGCCAGGCCGGCAAGAAGACTCCACCCAGCACAGTAGCCTTCACCCCTGGGGGTCCGAGTCACCCTCAGCTGCAGGTTTCAGCTTACTGCAGTCCTACATCCAAACTTTTTCCACTCCTGGGCCCTCTGGGCAGCCAGGGGCCACTGTAAGAGTCTGAAAGCACCTCCCACCTGGTCTTTTCTCTCTAATTCAGTCCCTGGGACAAAGAAATCCGTCTGCTCTCCTGAATATAGGCCAAAGTAGAGTTGATGCTTGCCCCTCCCCCCTTCATCTCTGCAGGAAGCAGCCTCCCTCCTCCTGCCAGTGCCAGGCTGCTGCTGAAAGGCTGCCCCCTGCCAGGAAGCCTCGTTCCCCTGGGTAACCAGTCTTCCCAGTTGCCATTACTCCTAGGCCCTGCTAGAGAGTGGTTTGTGTGAATCCTTGACTTATCTCACCTTTGACTCTGAGCTGGGGGTGGGGAGGGAGGGGGAGGAGGGAAAGCAAGTCAGAGGAGTAAAGTCCTTCCAGGCAGATGTCACAGTCAGAATTACTAGCAGAATTGATGGTGATTTCTCCTCTTGGCATCGACAGGCAACAAGGAGGCCATCTGAAAAACCCCAGAGATGAGCCGTTCTTTTTCAATTGATGAATTCATTTAAATATACAGAAGATATAATAGATACCCACATATCCACTACTCTTATTTACTAGACCTTAATATTTTATCATGTTTGCTTTAAATATCCTTTATTATTATTATTATTTTAGATGACACTTTTGATCTAGCTTAGATTCTCCTTCTCTACAGGGTTTCATTTTCCCCTCCCTCCTTGGGGTTCCCGCTTCCCTTTATCATTTGATCATTTTACCTGGACCTGTGGATGGAATTTAGGGGATTGGTAAATGGCTAGATTTTATGTGAAATTATATGTGCACATCTTTCTCACATGAGCTGCATCTATTCAGGAAATCTTATCTTCTCGTGGTCTCCACTGCAGCCACAGGTCCAAGCCACCATTATCTCACACTTGGACCATTTGCTTCCTTTGGCGGCCTTTTAACAGGAGCCAGCTCATGTTATTGCTTTGCGGAAATCCCACTAATGGCTTCTGATTTAACTCAGAGTAAAAGCTGAAGTCCTTGCCATCTGCAAGGCCCTCTGTGAGATGCGTCTCTCCATCCCCCTGCTTCTCTGACCTTGGGTCCCTCTGCGCTCAACTTCCTCTCCTTTCTAGTGCAGCCTACTACTCAGTAAGCTTAAATCTCTTAAAGCTTCAACTCCTCCTGGGCTCTCCCCTCTGGCTGCTAGTCTCTCCCTCCAGGTACCCACGTGGTGAAACGCCTGACATTGTTCAATTCTTGGCTCATATTTCAATTGTCAACGTGGATGAACTGAACTCCCTACTTAAAAATAAACACTTCGTCTCAAGCAATCTCTCTTTTCCTGCTCAAAGATTTCTTTTTCCATATGTTTATTTTCTAGCAAATTGTATATTTACTTATTACCTTTATTATTTTTTCCCTGTCTCTTCCTGCTAGTATGTAAACTCCATGAGAGCAGGACTTTTTGTCTATTTTTGTCAACGATGTTTCTTGAGTTCCTGTAATAGTGCCGGGCACATGCATGCTTCATAGATAATTGCTGAATGATTAAATAAATAACTAGGACCATGAATATGAGCATTTTTTGCTGAAGAGGGTCTAGAAGTTTCATCAGATTTTCAAGGTGTTTGTGACACAAAAAAGGATAAGGGCCATCGACTTGTAAATCATCAAAAAGTTTATTGGAAATTTTTTGCTTGATAGGTAGCCTGCTAGTGAAGCACAAGGTCACCAGAGTTTTTTCTTCTTTTCCAACTTGTCTTTCTGGATACTGGAGAGCTAATTCTGGAAGCTACTGGGACCCTTCTCCAGAAATGCCAGTGAATCTCCCCGGCCTGATGGAGGAAGTAGAGCATGGGAGGCCCTGATGGAGATTGTGGCAGGAGCACTGGCAGTGGGC